TTCTTAATTCATCACACAGATGGGGGAAAACTCTCAAGGTAGCCCGGGAGGGGTGAGTGAGGGGAGGAGGGAAGGACAAGGCCACACTACGGTTCAAAAATTATTGAATGCCAGCCTTCTGTTGCTTGGGCAATCCTCTGGGGTGGAGTGGCTGGGTGCCGGTAGCCGCCCCCTTCCCCACCCCCCTGCGTTCTTGGGTGTCTGGGTGAGGAGGATATGGAACTTGGGGAGGAGAGCAGGCAGTTATACAGGGGCTGCAGAGGTGGTCTGTGCTCCTGCTGCCTTTCCTGCAGCTCCATCAGATGCCTGAACATGTCAGTTTGCTCCCCCATTATTCAGCATTGCATCCTGCCTCCTCTCATCATGTTCATTTAATGCTTTCCTGGTCTCTGCCATTGTTTGCCTCCATGCATTCTGCTGAGCTCTTTCAGTGCGGGAGGACTGCGTGAGCTCTGAGAACATTTCATCGCAAGTGCATTTTTTTCACCTTCTAATCTGCACTAGCCTCTGGGATGGAGATGATGGGGGAGTATAGAAACATTTGCAGTTGCAGAAGAAAAAAAGGGAGAGTAGTATTTTAAAAGATACATTTTAGAGAACAAAGGGAAGACTATTTCACACTGATCAAGTGATTCACATTACATAGCACGAGCTATTGGTACAAGGTCACATTTTGCCTTTTATATTGAGTGCCTGCTGGTTTGGTGTGAGACATCACACATGCTCGGCTGGGCAACAGAATTCGGCTTCCAGGCGGCCATGGTAAGGAAAAGGGTTTCAACTTCTTCAACCTTCATAACATGTGGGAATGGAAACAGCAGTGCCCTTCTTTCCCATACCAAGCAAAGCCCATTGGGTTGGCCATTTAAAAGGAGGGGCTGCGATTTTAGGATGAATGTGCAGCACAATCCAACCCCCCCACACACACCTAATTCTCTGGGATGATCGCTTCACACATACCCCCCACACACCTGCACCACATGGCTAGTATTAGGGAAGATCTCTGTCAGCCAAACGCAAACAGCTCAGCATGAACGGGCCTCCCCCACTACATGGCTAACAGCAGGGATGATTTCTTTTCAGCCAAAGGCAAACAGCCCTGCAGGAACGGGCACCTCTGAATGTCCCCTTAAACAAATTTCCCATATTTGAACCAGGTGACGATGAATGATATCACTCTCCTGAGGCTAACACAAAGAGAAAAAGAACAGATGTTGCTTGAATGCCACCAAAGCCCAGGCCCATTCACTGCAATGCTTTGTTCTGCAATGATTCCAGACTACTTGCTACTGGCTTGGCGTGGTAAGTGTCCTACCATGGAGGATGGAATAAGGCTGATCTCCCCAGAAATCTTCTGCAAAGGCTTTTAGAGAACCTCCAGGAGAGCTTCATGGAGATGTCCCTGGAGGATTCCCGCTCCATCCCAGACACGTTAACAGACTTTTCCAGTAGCTATACTGGCCGTGAATGCATCTCAAGTCTTCAGGGCAAATTAATCATTAAACGTGCTTGCTTTTTAACCCTGTATTATATTTACAAAGGTACACTCACCAGAGGTGCCTTCTCCGGTTTCATGGTCCGGGAGCCCACCTTGGGAGGGTATTGGCTCCAGGGTGATGAACAGTTCCTGGCTGCCAGGGAGAAGAGATTCTCCGCTTGCCTGCTGTGTGCTATCCTCAACCTCCTTCTCCTCCACAAAATCCTCATCCCTGTTGTGAGAGACTACCCCCTTGCAAGTGTCCATGGACAGTGGTGGGGTAGGGGCGCTCCCTAGAATTGCATGCAGCTCATCATAGAAGCGGCATGTATGGGGCTCTGACCCGGAGCAACTGTTTGCATCCTTTGTTTTTTGGTAGGCTTGCCTCAGCTCCTTAACTTTCACGCGGCACTGCTGTGTCCCTGTTGTAGCCTCTGTCCATCATGCCCTTGGAGATTTTGGCAAATATATTGGCATTTTGTCTTTTTGGAGTTCTGCCTGCACGGATTCTTCTCCCCGTACAGCAATCAGATCCAGTGTCTCCCATTAGGTCCATGCTGGAGCTCGTTTGCTATTCTGGGACTCCATGGTCACCTGTGCTGATCAGCTCACCATGCTGGTCAAACAGGAAATGAAATTCAAAAGTTCCTGGGGCTTTTCCTGTGTACCTGGCCAGTGCATTGAAGTTGAGAGTGCTGTCCAGAGCGTCAAAATGGAGCACTCTGGGATAGCTCTTGGAGGCAAATACCATCGAATTGCGTCCACACTACCCCAAATTTGACCCAGCAAGGTCAATTTTAGCGCTACTCCCCTCACCAGGGAGGAGTACAGAAATCAATTTTAAGAGCCCTTTAAGTCGACAAAACAGGCTTGGTCGTGTGGACGGATGCAGGGTTAAATCAAATGCTGCTAAATTCGACCTAAACTCGTAGTGTAGACCAGGGCTAAGAAAGAAGTAGGAAGAACCCTTGGCAGCTACAAGCTGGAGCACTATGCATGGCTCAAGGCAGTTTTTGTCAGCTCCAAAATCCTCCTGGGCTCCATAAAATTACCTTGGCACCATTAGCAGTGCAAAGGAAGGATTTGGTTATGGTAGGAAAGCAGAAGCCTGGAGGGGCTCATGAATTAAGTGTGTGCTCTGGCATGCAAGGTCTGAGCTGCCAAAGACTTTGGCCCCAGCTCCATCCTATTTCCAGCTGGTGCCAAAGAACTCCTTGGCTACTACCTGGTGACAAGACTGCAGTGCCTATGTCTTCTAAGAGCTTCCATTTGATAGTTGAACCCCAAAAGTTAGTGATACACTTGAGTGCTGACATCTTGGTGCTGGCTACAACCTCAGCACCATGGGCAGCTCCAGAGTTCCAGTCACCTACATCTCTGGTGCTATCTCTGAGGCCTTGTCTACGCTACCAAGTTTTGTCGCCAAAAACTGCCTTTTTTGACCAAACAGTGAGTGCGTACACACTGCGATACGACTTTTGTCAGGAAAAATGTCTGGTTTTGGCGACTAAATACATCCACCCCGACAAGAGACTTGCATCTTTTTCCTCTATGTTTTTCTCGACAAAGTGCCAGTGTAGAGACCACGCCTGATTTCATTGCTTTAATTGGCCTCCAGGAGGTGTCCCACAATGTCCATCCTAACCTCTCTGGTCAGCTGTTTGAACTCCACTGCCCTGCAGCCAGGTAACCAAATATCTGCCCTTCCCCCTTAGAAGCCCCAGGAATTTTTTACATTCAATTTCCTAATGGCTTGGTGTGGAGAGGTCTCATCGCATCTTCCCAGATGACCATGGTGGGTTATCACATTAAACGCTCTCCCGTTGGACCACTGTGGAGCTGTTGGATCTGATCAGTATATGGGGAGAGGAGGCTGTGCAGTCCCAGCTGGTCTTGAGCCATAGGGATTGAGATACCTACGGGCAGATTTCTTGTGGCTTGTGCGAAAAGGGCTATGATCGGGACACGCTGCAGTGCAGAGCGAACATAAAGGAGCTGAGGCGAGGTGAACCATAAGGCGAGGGACACAAACCATTGTTCGGGTGCTTCACCTAACACCTGCTGGTTCTATAAGGAGCTGGACAGTATCCTCGGTGATGACCCCACCTCCACCGCCAAGAGCCCCGTAGATACTTCGGAGGGCACGGAGGCGGCGGAAAGAGGATCTAACCCAGAGGACGAAGTTATTGGTGAAGAGGTGGAGTTAGACAAGGATGTGCAGCTCCCGGTGGGGCAGGTAGCCAGGAACTGTTCTCCACTCCAGAGGTGCCTAGCCAGTCTCAGCAGTTGCTCTCTGAGGAGATGAGATGCCTGGTAAATGGCCGTGGCTTGTGTAGTGCAGAGCTGGGTTCAGGGTATAGACATGTACAAGGCTGGCTGTGTTTCTGTGAGCTGGACATTTCCCTGCGTACCTAATCGGTACAGCAGAATAGGGTGTTGATGCATGCTGACATCTCACGGGAATACTCCAGAGAGATCTCCAGGAAAGTTTCCTGGAGGTACTCTGCAATCCTTTGCCAAAGGTTCCATGACAGAGCATCTTTGTTCCTTCCCCCATTGTAGGAAACTTTCCTGTGCCATTAGGCAATCATTTGTGCAGGGACCAAAGCGGCACATCAGGGAGCAGCATACGGAGCAGGGCAGAAGCCACAAGCATGGAGTAGATGTACTCTCATTTTCCTGCTTACCCTTAGCAGTGAGATATCTGCTAGAATGCCCCGTCTGTGGAAAAGTGTGGTGTTGGGGGCTTATTCCTTCACCCACTTACTTCCCTGCTCCTTCTCGCATGAACAGAGAGCAACAATACCCGAAGTCCAAAGGTGCAAACAATTCGATGTTTATTGGGGTGAACTTCCAGCAAGCATGATTCCAGTTTCCGATGCATCCGATGAAGTGAGCTGTAGCTCACAAAAGCTTATGCTCAAATAAACTGGTTAGTCTCTAAGGTGCCACAAGTACTCCTTTTCTTTTTTCAGGACAGGATTGTATTCCTAACAGCCCAATAGCACCTTCTTTCAATGTGCCTAGTTTGGAATGTGAGGATGCGACCGGTCACTTCCCCGTTTATGGCTGCCTGTTGCTTAGCCAAAGGCCTTAATCTAAGAACAGGGCCTCAGACTGTCACAGTAAGAGAAGGACCTTACGCTGGCAGACAGTGATTTTGATTCTTTCTTTTATACTTCTAACTAGCCAAGTGATAAGAATACACCTAAATTCTTCGAGTACAGGCCTTTACCGACAGGTCTGAATATCTATATCCTAACATGTGGGATGCTAGAATGCTTCACCATGACCCTTGCAAAGAGTGTGTGCTCTTTTCCCCATGTGGAGTGCCCTGTGCGTGCCCTCGCACGCACAGGCCAACACTTACCATGTTTTGGGTGTTCACAGAGATGTGTGCCTGGCTAGGGTCCGTGAGAAAGTGATTGCAATGTTGCAAAAGGTGTATTTAACTGAAATGTTTCTATACTGTGCATGAATTTAACAATCCCGCTTCTGTGCATTGTCTCCTGTGCTTCACCAGATGCGAACACCTTCAGGAAACTTTCAGGCACCCTGGTCGAGCGTCTCCACCAGATAAGAAAGCATCCAAGATGCAGCAAAGAAATGTTCTGGGAGGTACTGCAGTGCACCAATGAAAAAAAAAGGGAACGCAAGGAGTGCTGGGAAGCTGAATGGCAGGATAGAAAAGAGAATCACGTGTTTGTTAATGATGCAACTGAGTGGATGATTAAAGTAATGGAGGAGCAAAGGTAGATCCTGATGTTCTTAATGCTGCAGACCGAGCAGATCCGTGCTCTACCTCCACTGCAGTACATTCCAAACTGTTCCATTGCCCCTCCTCCCCCAAACTCTGCCCACACCGTCCTTTCCACTTTCCGGGACTTCTCAGTTTCTCCTTCGTTCCACCCCGTCCTACAACTTTCACAATGATAGCTAGACCTACACACAGTTATGAAAGTCTGCCCTTCACTAGTTACTCCTTTACTACCAAGCATCTTTGTGTTTCTGTGCACTGTTTCTTGTGCAAGAAACACAAAGTTTTATAATGGTAAATCATTTTTATTTTTTTTCCTACACATTGCGATTGCAGGCACTGCCAATACATGCACAGGCATTTTAATCATTTTCTTACTGGAATATAAGGCACCAAATGTCACCATTGTGTCATAGACTCACAGGACTCGTGCTCTCTCTTGGCTCTGTACGATCCCTGGAAGGAACCCCTTTCAGTGTGGCAGCCCTTCTCAGAGGTCCACTCTCTCTTGGGGGTTAAGCCATAGGCCCCTCCGCCTTCTGGAATCACACCTCTCAGCACACCTATCTCTCGCCGAGGGGCCCCTCCAGGGAGTCCACTCGCTCTGGACCCCTGGAGCCTCCGCTTCCAGAGGGAATAATGCAACCCTGATCTCTAGACCGGAGTGACTTTCAGCCAGCATAAAACAGGTTTTATTGAGCATCTGAACCCAGCACAAGAAACTCTCTGGGCCCTCGGGCCTAGCATCCCACAGCACAGTACATCTAGGTCTCTCCTGCATCCAAGTGGGCTCTGGCTGCTCTCTCCCCCCAGTCCAGAAGCCCCCTCCGTCCAGCTGGGTATCCGATATCATTGTCTCCCAAGTTCACTGCAATACTGTTGGACTGCGCCAAAGACCCCAGGCCAGTAAAAGTTCTGCAGCAGCCTCTGCCTTGTGCGCCAGATTCCCTGATGCCCCAAAAAAGGGAATATCATGGGCCAAGTACAACAGTGTGTGGGGAACAGTCTGGGGAACCACCAGCTGCTTCCTGACTTTCCAAAGTTCAGTGTGCCCCATACCAGCCCATTTCTGGTACAGGAATCCCTTCTCCCACCAGAATCTCTAGTGGTGGTCCTCCCCAGGGGTCCTGCACCACTGTGGCCAGCAAGGGCCCTCAGCTTCTCTAAGGAGGGGTCCTCCTGTAGCTCTGTCTGGAATTCAGCTGCTGGGTTTAGGGCACAGCTCTGGTTGGACAAGGATGTGCAGTTTCCCCACTTTGGGACAGAGGTTCAGGCTCTACCTTCGGTGCTTCGCTCCCCTAGCCCCCTTCCATTGGGAGGTTCCATGCTGTCAGACTGGGACTGGGTGTTCCTTGCTGGCTCTGGCTCTGGGTAAGGACCAGGGAGCTGAGGGCCATCCAACCAGTCCTCCAAGTCATTACCCATTAGCACCTCCATGGGTAGCTGAACATGCACCCTGACCTCTTTAGAGCACCTCCTTAGCCCCCATTTCAGATGTATCCTCTCTACAGGCACATTGATGGGGGGCCCGAACACCCCCCCTCGGTCAGGTATGCATTGGGCACTAGCTGCTCTGGGTTCACCATCTCCAGCCAGGCCAGTGTCACCTCCGCACCTGTGTCCCAGAACCCCTGGACACTCCTTCCCCTCACCTCAATAGGGATGATGTGGCATTGTCCCCAGGGGTCTGTCCCATGCTCACCCAGTGAATTGAGTGCAGGCGCTCTGGGGCTGGAGCCCCTGCCTTCCCCAGCTGACCTGGCCTGACCCTCCCTTCCCCCTGGTCCTACCACATCGACCATGGCCCCTGGACTGGTGCTGCTCCCTGTGGGTGGGCTTCCACCTTGTTGACACTCCGAGGGTTCTGCTTGGCCACCATTTCCTTCATCTTCAGGCATTGCGCCACTTTGTATCCTTTTTGGCCACAGTAATTACATTTCAGGTCCCTCAAGTCCCATGAGGGGGTTGGCCCACCCCAGCATTCATGAGCACCCCTGAGATGTACTTCCTGGTGTTGGGGACACTGGGGCATGGCCACTAGGTAACTCGAGGGGATGGAAGACCATGAGTGTCGATGAAGCCCCCTTGCACTAGGCTCAAGTGCCCTTGGCCCCCCCCCACCTGGAAGCACTCGCAGCAGTTATGCTGAGGATCTGCAACAATATGTTGCAGAGTCAGACTGCCTGAAACTAAACAAGGCCAAACAGGGCAGATATGGAAGAACAATGCTGAATAAAGCAGCTTTATGTATGGTTTAACAGATGGTACAGAGAACAAGGGAGCTAGCTGGTAACTGGATTGGCTGGCTATATGGATACTTAGGGCAGCTTGCTATTGGATAAGTATGCTGAAGAAAGGATGTATAAAAGCCTGTGTAACTTCCTGCTCGGTGTGCAGGATTTGAGATTCTATTCTCCCTGTACCTTGTTTGCAGCTGCAAATAAACTTTTCTGCTTCTCCACCCCGTTGTGATTATTGGGTGATACATACCAGGCAATGAACCTTGCTGTTGTTCGCTTCTGGCATTGGGTGCCGGCAACAGCTTTTGGCGTCTCTGGGTGAGGGCAACGAGGCTGCTATTTAGCCTTGCCCGGACCCCTCCTGGAGGTCAAGGATTGCGGCGAGAACCGACACCCAGCACGCACTGGTGAGTTCATTGGGGGCCTCGGAGGAGACGCGATTTGATTGACCCCGGAGGGCACAACAGTGCAATGCACTCATATAGTGGAGAAGCAGCTGTGGGCGATGGTGAGGAACCGGTCCCTTGGATAAGGTAGGAACCTTTTGAAATCTGGATTGTATGCTCTGTTGGAACCTGGGGACGCCCAGAGTTACCCTGTAGGTATGGGACAGGGACAGAGCTCGGGGGTTAGGGCACAGTGTACGCCCCTAGAATGCATTCTAGCAAACTGGAAGGTATTTGGTGCGGATCTGATGACTAAGAGTCAATTAAAACGATTCTGTACAGTTGACTGGCCTCAATATCAACTAGAGGACCAGGAGTGACCAGGTGGCCACCAGGAGGGTCAATTAATTACAACACGATCCTCCAGTTACTCCTGTTCTCTCAGAGAACAAGGAAATGGAATGAACATATGTATGCGCATTCGTTTTTGGCTTTATGTACTCGACCAGATATTTTACAGCGTTGTAATCTGACTCCGACTGGTTCAGTAGCAGCTAATGTTAGTCCCCAGACCCCCACCCCCACTGTAATGGCAGAGCCGGTGTCCCCTTCGGCCCCTACACCCACACCTTGTAAGTCCCCAATGGTTGGCTTATACCCCTTAATCACCGAAACTAAAGTCGCCCGGTCTGGATCGGACAGGCGTCCGGCCACGACTATGCAGGTTTATACTCATGTGCCCTTTAACCCTGTGGATTTGGCTGCTTTCAAAGCACAGGCAGGAGAGTTTTCCACCAAACCAAGCAGGTTTATTTCAGTTTTTGAGGGATGTCTTAGCAGCCACAAGCCGGACTGGGATGATTGTAACATCCTCCAGCGAACCTTGTTGTCTGAGGTTGAAAGACAACAGGTTGTGTCCAAGACAAGGGAGGAGGCGCAGAGACGGTACGACCGGGATCGTATTAATGTCCCTGACCCGGATGCACAAGTCCCCCGAGCAGACCCCAGGTGGGATCCAAATAATCCTGGGGATATGACCCGCCTTACCTCCTATAAGGAGTTGCTTTTGTATGGACTCCGTCACTTGGCTGTCCGACATAATAATTGGGCAAAGCCATATGAAGTAATGCAGGATTTAAAAGAAAGCCCAGGGGCCTTTCTACAGCGTATTCAGGACATGATTCGAGAGAACACTAATGCAGACCCCGATGATCAGGCAACTGAGTCAATCATTAAGGGAATTTTTACGAGCAGAGCAGCCCCTGATATTAAGAGAAAGTTACAAAAAAAGGAGGATTTAATGGGCATGACCATGGCACAAATCTTAGAGACTGCAAACCGAGCTTACCGTCTGAGAGAGACTGAGAAGGAGAGAAAGCAAGTGAGACTGATGGTAACAGCGGTACAGGCCAGCACTAAGGGAAGTGGCCAGGGAGGAAGGAGCCGTGGACGCAAACGTCCGGGCTCGCAGGAGAGACGATTGGGTCGCAACCAGTGTGCCTTGTGTCAACAAGAGGGACACTGGAAAAATGAGTGCCCAAAGAGGAAAGAAAAGGGGGGTGCCTCTATGATGGCGATGGTGGAGCAGGAATAGGGGTGTCAGGGGAGGCGGACCACCCTACCCCCGGAACCCCAAGTAAAGATGCGGATGGGAAGCTCAGAAATAGATTTTTTAGTGGACTCTGGAGCTGCACAAACTGCCGTAAATCGACCCCTTCAGTTGCCAGTAGCAGATTCCCTTACCGTGGTGGGAGCCACAGGCAGGGACACCAAGTGCCCAGTGTATGCCCCAGCGGAATGCGCTTTGGGAAACAGGACTATATCCCACAAGCTGGTATACCTCCCTGAGTGTCCAACACCTCTGCTGGGACGGGATCTGCTTTGTCGCTTCAGTGCCACCCTGCATTTTACTGAGGACGAAATAACCCTTACCTTACCCCCTGAGAATGCATGGATCATGACCCTTGCAGTTGAGCCCTCAGCCATGCAAACCCCAGAATGGAGCCCGTGAGAAGACCAGGTGTACCCCCTAGTGTGGGCATCAGGGATCCCAGGAAAGTCCACCCACCAGACCCCCATTACTATTCAGCTCATACCAGGGAAAGGCCCAGTGCAAGTAAAACAGTATCCAATCAAGAGGGAAGCCAGAGAAGGTTTACAGGAAACTATAGATCGATTCCTAATGTATGGTATTCTCCGGGAATGTCAGTCAGCCTGGAACACTCCCATTCTACCCGTACGGAAGCCTGATGGCACGTATCGGCTGGTACAGGACCTAAGGGCAGTCAATGAACGGGTTAAGACTCTGCACCCTCTTGTCCCTAACCCGTATACCTTATTGGCTTCTATAGGGGGACAGTATACCCATTTTTCAGTCCTCAATCTGAAAGATGCAGATGACAGGACAAGGAGTAATGGTCTCAAGTTGCAGTGGGGGAGGTTTAGATTGGATATTAGGAAAAACTTTTTCACTAGGAGGGTGGTGAAACACTGGAATGCGTTACCTAGGGAGGTGGTAGAATCTCCTTCCTTAGAGGTTTTTAAGGTCAGGCTTGACAAAGCCCTGGCTGGGATGATTTAACTGGGAATTGGTCCTGCTTTGAGCAGGGGGTTGGACTAGATGACCTTCTGGGGTCCCTTCCAACCCTTATATTCTATGATTCTATGATTCTATGTGGTAGAATCTCCTTCCTTAGAAGTTTTTAAGGTCAGGCTTGACAAAGCCCTGGCTGGGATGATTTAATTGGGGATTGGTCCTGCTTTGAGCAGGGGCTTGGACTAGATGACCTCCTGAGGTCCCTTCCAACCCTGATATTCTATGATTCTGTGATTCTCACACAGCTGTTAGGAGCATGGAGACGTCCTGTGGCTTATTTTTCTAAGCAACTGGATGAGGTTGCAAAGGGTTGGCCTGCATGTTTACGGGCGGTCGCAGCTACTGCCCTAGTTCTTGAGGAAGCCGAGAAGCTAACATTGGGAGGGGTTATGCAAATCTATACTCCCCATATGGTCCGAGCCTTATTGGATGCAAAGGAAGGGCTCTGGCTCACCCAGGCTTGGATTGCTCGGTATCAGGCTAAGCTGTTAGAGAACTCTGAAGTCACCTTACAGCCTTGCCCCTCCCTTAATCCAGCCACCCTCTTGCCAGAAACAGAGGAACAGGAACATGACTGTTTAGAGATCATAGATGCCCAGTACTCCAGCCGTCCGGATTTAAAGGATGTACCCCTCCCAAATACAGATTATGAGTGGTACACTGATGGTAGCAGTACCGTAATAGATGGGCAAAGGAGGGCGGGTTATGCTGTTGTGACCCTCCATGACACTGTGGAAGCTGAAGGTTTGCCTGCTGGGACCTCTGCCCAGCTTGCCGAACTAATAGCCCTGACCCGTGCACTTGAACTATCAAAAGGAAAGTGGGTCAATATTTTTACTGATTCAAAATATGCTTTTGGTGTGCTGCATGCTCATGCTGGCCTATGGAAGCAAAGGGGAATGCTGACAGCCCAAGGCTCCCCAGTCAAGTACGGGCCCCAAATCCTCCGGCTCCTAGAAGCCGTACAACTTCCCTCGGAAGTGGCGGTGGTACACTGTAAAGCCCATCAAAAGAAGGATCAAGATGTGGCCAGAGGTAACGCCTGGGCAGATAGAGAGGCTAAGCATGCTGCCACCCTGACATCCCCTCAGACTGAGAACGCCCATATGCATGCCCTTATCCCATCAGGAGGGGAGCTTCCAACCCCTCAGTACTCTGGGGAGGAGAGACAGCTAACTGACAAACTCGGTCTCCGGGAAAAGGAGGGATGGCTCCATTCCCCGGAAGGGAAGGACCTCCTACCAAAGGGCCTGATCTGGCCGGTGCTGCAGAAACTACATCAAAACACTCATGCTGGCATTGAAGACTTATCCAACTAATGGGAAAATAGAATCATAGAATATCAGGGTTGGAAGGGACCCCAGAAGGTCATTTAGTCCAACCCCCCGCTCGAAGCAGGACCAATTCCCAGTTAAATCATCCCAGCCAGGGCTTTGTCAAGCCTGACCTTAAAAACCTCTAAGGAAGGAGATTCTACCACCTCCCTAGGTAACGCATTCCAGTGTTTCACCACCCTCTTAGTGAAAAAGTTTTTCCTAATATCCAATCTAAACCTCCCCCACTGCAACTTGAGACCATTACTCCTCGTTCTGTCATCTGCTACCATTGAGAACAGTCTAGAGCCATCCTCTTTGGAACCCCCTTTCAGGTAGTTGAAAGCAGCTATCAAATCCCCCCTCATTCTTCTCTTCTGCAGGCTAAACAATCCCAGCTCCCTCAGCCTCTCCTCATAAGTCATGTGTTCTAGACCCCTAATCATTTTTGTTGCCCTTCGCTGGACTCTCTCCAATTTATCCACATCCTTCTTGTAGTGTGGGGCCCAAAACTGGACACAGTACTCCAGATGAGGCCTCACCAATGTCGAATAGAGGGGAACGATCACGTCCCTCGATCTGCTCGCTATGCCCCTACTTATACATCCCAAAATGCCATTGGCCTTCTTGGCAACAAGGGCACACTGCTGACTCATATCCAGCTTCTCGTCCACTGTCACCCCTAGGTCCTTTTCCGCAGAACTGCTGCCTAGCCATTCGGTCCCTAGTCTGTAGCTGTGCATTGGGTTCTTCCGTCCTAAGTGCAGGACCCTGCACTTATCCTTATTGAACCTCATCAGATTTCTTTTGGCCCAATCCTCCAATTTGTCTAGGTCCTTCTGTATCCTATCCCTCCCCTCCAGCGTATCTACCACTCCTCCTAGTTTAGTATCATCCGCAAATTTGCTGAGAGTGCAATCCATACCATCCTCCAGATCATTTATGAAGATATTGAACAAAACCGGCCCCAGGACTGACCCTTGGGGCACTCCACTTGATACCGGCTGCCAACTAGACATGGAGCCATTGATCACTACCCGTTGAGCCCGACAATCTAGCCAGCTTTCTACCCACCTTATAGTGCATTCATCCAGCCCATACTTCCTTAACTTGCTGACAAGAACACTGTGGGAGACCGTGTCAAAAGCTTTACTAAAGTCAAGAAACAATACATCCACTGCTTTCCCTTCATCCACAGAACCAGTAATCTCATTATAAAAGGCGATTAGATTAGTCAGGCATGACCTTCCCTTGGTGAATCCATGCTGGCTGTTCCTGATCACTTTCCTCTCATTCAAGTGCTTCAGGATTGATTCTTTGAGGACCTGCTCCATGATTTTTCCAGGGACTGAGGTGAGGCTGACTGGCCTGTAGTTCCCAGGATCCTCCTTCTTCCCTTTTTTAAAGATTGGCACTACATTAGCCTTTTTCCAGTCATCCGGGACTTCCCCGGTTCGCCACGAGTTTTCAAAGATAATGGCCAATGGCTCTGCAATCACAGCCGCCAATTCCTTCAGCACTCTCGGATGCAACTCGTCCGGCCCCATGGACTTGTGCACGTCCAGCTTTTCTAAATAGTCCCTAACCACCTCTATCTCCACAGAGGGCTGGCCATCTCTTCCCCATTTTGTGATGCCCAGCGCAGCAGTCTGGGAGCTGACCTTGTTAGTGAAAACAGAGGCAAAAAAAGCATTGAGTACATTAGCTTTTTCCACATCCTCTGTCACTAGGTTGCCTCCCTCATTCAGTAAGGGGCCCACACTTTCCTTAGCTTTCTTCTTGTTGCCAACATACCTGAAGAAACCCTTCTTGTTACTCTTGACATCTCTCGCTAGCTGCAGCTCCAGGTGCGATTTGGCCCTCCTGATATCATTCCTACATGTCCGATCAATATTTTTATACTCTTCCCTGGTCATATGTCCAACCTTCCACTTCTTGTAAGCTTCTTTTTTATGTTTAAGATCCGCTAGGATTTCACCATTAAGCCAAGCTGGTCGCCTGCCATATTTACTATTCTTTCGACTCATCGGGATGGTTTGTCCCTGTAACCTCAATAGGGATTCCTTGAAATACAGCCAGCTCTCCTGGACTCCTTTCCCCTTCAAGTTAGTCCCCCAGGGGATCCTGGCCATCTGTTCCCTGAGGGAGTCGAAGTCTGCTTTCCTGAAGTCCAGGGTCCGTATCCTGCTGCTTACCTTTCTTCCCTGCGTCAGGATCCTGAACTCAACCAACTCATGGTCACTGCCTCCCAGATTCCCATCCACTTTTGCTTCCCCCACTAATTCTACCCGGTTTGTGAGCAGCAGGTCAAGAAAAGCGCCCCCTCTAGTTGGCTCCTCTAGCACTTGCGCCAGGAAATTGTCCCCTACGCTTTCCAAAAACTTCTTGGATTGTCTATGCACCGCTGTATTGCTCTCCCAGCAGATATCAGGAAAATTAAAGTCACCCATGAGAATCAGGGCATGCGATCTAGTAGCTTCCGTGAGCTGCCGGAAGAAAGCCTCATCTACCTCATCCCCCTGGTCCGGTGGTCTATAGCAGACTCCCACCACGACATCACTCTTGTTGCTCGCACTTCTAAACTTAATCCAGAGACTCTCAGGTTTTTCTGCAGTTTCATACTGGAGCTCTGAGCAGTCATACTGCTCCCTTACATACAGTGCTACTCCCCCACCTTTTCTGCCCTGCCTGTCCTTCCTGAACAGTTTATAACCATCCATGACTTTCCATACTTTATCACTTCCGGACTCCGACCCCTGGCTGCCCAAGTATAAGCGGACTGCTTAGTCTGCCAAAAGAATAACCCCCGACGGGGACATCCTGTGCCACCTGTGCCACTGGGCCCTGGACGAGTGGTGGCAAATAGACTTTACTGGTTTCCCCGGACCCAAGGGTTCAAATATCTCCTTGTCATAGTGGATCGATTCAGCGGATGGCCAGAAGCCTTCCCATGCCATAATTGCACTGCCAGAACAGTGGCCCTCACGTTTGTTAAGGAGATCATTCCTCGCTTTGGACTCCCCCAGTGGATGGGATCTGACAACAGGACACACTTCACGTCAAAAATCATTCAAAGCATCTCAAATGCCTTACAGATCCCCTGAAAACTCCATACGCCCTGGAGACTGCAAGCCAGTGGGGTAGTGGAGCGTACCAATCAGACCCTTAAACGGCATCTCTCAAAAGTGTGCCAAGAAGCCTCACTGCGATGGCCTGATGCTTTGCCCCTCATCCTACTCCGTATCCGCGTTCTCCCAAAGGGTAGATTAGGGCTTAGTCCCTTTGAAATTATGTTTGGAAGGGCATGGCCTATGAATGGCACCCCGGTTCTGTCAGGGGAATGGGAGTTGGGTAATGGTTTTTTGTCTCAGTATATGTGTTCCCTGTCTGCTGTTCTCTTGTCTCTTCACAGGTATACCAAGGATTCCCAGCCTCTCCCCTTGGACTCTCCCGTCCACTCCTTACAGCCGGTGACTCCGTGCTTGTTCATACCTGGAAGGACGAGCCTCTCCAGGAAAAGTGGAAAGGACCCTATACCGTCCTGCTGATCTCCCAAACAGCAGCAAAGGTCTAGGGACACAAGAACTGGATCCATCACTCTCGTCTGAAGGCAGTACCTGCCCCCTCGTCAGCAGAACAGTGGACCGTCCAACCTGCTGACTCTTCATCTAGTAACGATCTCGGGCTAAAGCTACTGTTTAAAAGACACAAATAGCAGGCACGCCAAAATGGGCCCACCCAGGTACTGGAGACCCTGGGTTGGGAAGACTCTGGTGATAATTAATTGGGTAACATTGTTATTCTCTGTATTGTTATTTCCAAACTGTGCATATTGGGAGCATAACTCCTTTGTTTCGCTTGCGCACCATGTTGCTAATTTAACAAACCAGACTGATTGCTGGGTATGGGCTCCAACTCCACTGTCCCCCAAAACGGGAATGCCCCTTGACATGCTGCCCCTGACCCTAGCAGAATTAGCTGCCATCAAAGAGCAGGAACGAACAGACTCGCCGTTCTGGAACAAGACCTCTTTACAGCAGGCCACCTATCAGGACCAGGAGTATTCAGTTGCAGTACTCACCGAAGGAGTGTTATGTTTTACCCAAAGCCAATCTGATCACTATGGGCGTCCTGTGGGAAAAAGCTCCTGTGTTATTACACAATGGGCTGATGGGTATTGGATAAAGGCCAAAAGGGGAGGCCAGCAGTGTGGGTGTAATGGTTCCTCCCCTTTTAGGGAAACTCTTACGAATAATCTTACCAAAAAAGAAGGGTTTGGAAATATAACTTGCCGTCCAGTTAATATCTCCAATGTAGCAAGCCAATGGTGGGTTTGTAGTGGTACCTATGGCGAGTGTAATTTGAACGGTACAATTAGAAAGGCCCCCACTTGTACCCAATCAGGAGGCTGGGATGCCCCTTTAGGGGCATATGAACTGTTTGGAAAAGCAGCCAAAGCAGCCTTAAATACCCCAGGAATCCCCTTTAGAAACAGTCCTTATTGGGCCCTACAGGGTCACTATTTCGTATGTGGCCGAAAGGCTTACAAGGTGCTGCCAGCCAACTGGACAGGTAGCTGTTATATAGCTCATGGAGTTCCTCATCTGTCAATAACTGCCACACTGCCCAAAGGAAAGATTAGAAATGCCCGAGACACCTCTATTGAGTCACGAGAAAAGACCCTGCGGCGACTGACTGCGGCATTGGAGGGCAATATAAAGAATCCCCTCACAACCGAGAAGCTTGTAGGGTGCTCTGTACTGGGAATAACGCCACTGTTTACCGGGCCAGCCATGGCATGCAAAGGCCGCTATACTGTAAGGCTGCAAATGGTACTTGAGAAAGTGGCCTTAGAGTTAGAGGACTCGGTTAGTGATTTAGGGTCGGCAGTAAAAACATTAAATAAAGAGGTACAGCAGCTCAGGACCTTTTCCCTCCAAAACAGGCTGGCTTTGGACTATCTCTTGGCATCCCAAGGAGGGGTTTGTGCCCTCGTCGGGCCCCAATGTTGTGTATATGTAAATGATAGCAGTTATGAGATCTATGAAAAGGTGGTACAGGCTGAGGCCCATGCTCGAGCCGGAGCACAGGTTGCCTGTACTGCCACCAAGAGTGATTGGTTACAAACCTTGTTTTCAGGCTGGGGTTTGTCATCTTGGCTTGGTGGTTTATTTAGCCTGTTATTGAAACTTCTTTTTCCTGTATTGCTTGTATTACTGGTATTATGCTGTGCAGCATCATGTGTCAGGACCCTTTTGTAAAAGTTAATAAGTCACTCTCTTCAGGGCTATCACAAAGTGCTTATGCAAAGTCCTATTGTAAAGAAATAAGTAGCCCAAGTGAGAAAACTCAGAGCCAAGGCTGAGTGTTCTCAAAGGAGGGAGTAGTTGTTGGGGACACTGGGGCATGGCCGCTAGGTAACTCGAGGGGATGGAAGACCACGAGTGTCGATGAAGCCCCCTCGCACTAGGCCCAAGTGTCCTTGCCCCCTTCCCTCCCCCCCCCCCCGGCTTGGAGGCACTCACAGCAGATATGCTGAGGATCTGCAACAATATGTTGCAGAGTCAGACTGCCTGAAACTAAACAAGGCCAAACAGGGCAGATATGGAAGAACAATGCTGAATAAAGCAGCTTTATGTATGGTTTAACAGACGGTACAGAGAACAAGGGAGCTAGCTGGTAACTGGATTGGCTGGCTATATGGATACTTAGGGCAGCTTGCTATTGGATAGGTATGCTGAAGAAAGGATGTATAAAAGCCTGTGTAACTTCCTGCTCGGTGTGCAGGATTTGAGATTCTATTCTCCCTGTACCTTGTTTGCAGCTGCAAATAAACTTTTCTGCTTCTCCACCCTGTTGTGATTATTGGGTGATGCACACCGGGCAACGAACCTTGCTGCTGTTCGCCTCTGGCACTGGGTGCGGCAACACTGGAATCCCTCCTTTGAGGGGTCTGTGGGTGACTCTCCTTCTGAGTCCCCGATGGGGTTCTCCCTCCTGTCCCTGATCTGCTGTCCACAAACTCATCTGCCAGTTTACCTGCACTGCACAGATCTTTAGGCTTCCTCTCCACTAACCACATCTTACATTTTGGAGGGCAGTTGTCATACAGCTGCTCCAGTGCCCACCAGGTTATACATGCTCTCTGCGGTAGTGGCCCCTGCACCCTTTTCCCACTTGCAGAGAGATTCCCCCAGCAGGTTGGTGACCTCCGTGTAAGTGACACCTGCAGTCTTGCGTAACCTTGGAATCGTTTCCTGTATGCCTCAAGGGTCAACTGAAACTTTAGCAGCAAAGCCTGTTTGAAGAGTTCATAGGCCCCAGTCTCAAAACCATACATTTGGCTGAACGCCTCTGTGGCCTTGGGACCCAGCATGGGGATTAGACAGCGGAGCCTGTCCACGAGGTCAATCTGGTTCAAATCACAAGCTTTCTCAAAGGCTGTGAGGTAGGCATCAATATCTCCCCCATCCCCTTAAACTGGGGCAACAACTTGGTGTCCAGATTCCCTGTAGAACTGGCATCTCAGGGTCCTTCTCCACTTTACCCTCCTCCGCTCCCCAGCAGGCCCTCTTGGCCCACCTCTCCTCCAATTCCAGTTCCTGCTTTTGCTGTTCTGCATGGTACTCTCGTTCTCTCTGTCCACCAGCCTCCACTCCTCCAGTTCCATCTCCTTCGCTCTCCTCTACAGCTCCAGTCTCCACAGCTCCTCTGGGGAGAAACCCGATTGGGCAACCCCCCTGCTGACCAGGGAATCAGGTCTGATAGACTCCTGGCTGCTATGCTGACTGCACCCTTGGCTACTCCCAGGCTCTCCGGGCATCCCAGAAGCCCTGCTGGGATCTGTAACTTGCTCCTCAGACTGGTCACTCTCTACCAGCCAGGCAATCAGCTGCTCCTTGGTGAGCGTTCCAATGCCTAGCCATCCGTCCCTGCACAGATGTGCAATATCCCTTTTAGGGAGCTAGTTATAGGCCATTTCCTCACTGGTTCCTTTAATTCCCTTGTCTTATTGCTGGCACCCACTCACTGCAGAGCCCCTGTGCTCGCAGCCAACTGTCTACAGGGTGCATCCACCAACCATCTTCTGCTACCAAGTTGTCACGGACTCACAGGATTTGTGCTCTCTCTCGGCTCTGTACGGTCCCTGGGAGGAACCCCCTTCAGTGCAACAGCCCTTCTCATGGGTCCACTCTCTCAGGGGTTAAGCCATAGGCCCATCCGCCTTCTGGAACCAGCCGTCTCTGAGCCTTCAGCATGCCTGTCTCTCCCCGCTCCCCTATGAAGTCCACTCACACTGGACCCCTGGGGCCTCCACTCCCAGAAGGAATAATGCCACCCTGATCTCTAGACCGGAGTGACTCTCAGCCAGCGTAAAACAGAAGGTTTTATTTAGCATCTGAACCCAGCACAGGAAACGCTGAGCCCACAGGCCTAGCAACCCTCAGCACAATACATATAGGTCTCTCCTGCATCCAGGTAGGCTCTGGCTGCTCTCTCTTCCCAGTTCAGAAGCTTCCTCCTTCCAGCTTGGTATCTGATATCACTGTCCCCCAATTCCGATTTTTATTATGTAGACTTTTGGGTGTCGACATAACTTGGTAGTATAGACATGGTCTAAGTTCATCCCTGGTGCCAGCTGCTTCCTCCCCATCAACTCTAGAAACAGATTTTGTCAGGCTCTCTCTTTCTTCTATCTGGTGCTGAGGGAAAAATATAAGAAAAAGAGAAGCAGCAGCATTGCTTTTGAGAGAACTATGATTTTGCATCTATGGGGTCTGGATCTGACCCCCCTTGCTGATGACTCCATTGGTATGCCCTACAGGCAACACCTCTACTTCATCAGTGCAGTTTCCTTGAGCTCCTACCTATGAGATATATTCCACATCTGAAGATTCTGCAGAAGAGCTGGGTTTGATATATTTGGTTCCTGTAACCAGAATCTGCTGTGACAGGTTGGACTGCCCTTCTGGGATGCCACCTGATGTACTGGAGTTTCACTGAGCCCCTCCTGCTCCTCCAGGCTGGATTCCCTCTCCCTGTTTTGCTGAATTAGGCTCTCTGGCCTCTTGCAGCACACATATGTGGGTAGGGCCACACCGAGCTGCAGACACAGACTGAAGTCAGCTCTGTGTGACAGGATTCACCCAGTACTCACATTCACACCCCTTTTGGAGAGTAAACACAAAATAATACTGTCTTGAGCTGTATAGAAAGATCTGCACAGTGCAAGCTCATAAAAATTCCCTCTCTCCCTCAATGTGAAGAGAGATATGCACAGCTTCTTGCTCCCCGATATGGATTGCACAAACTGGGTTTAATAATAAGCAAAAACATGTTTATTAACTATAAAAGGTAGATTTTAAGTGATTATAAGGGATAGAAAACATAACAAAGCAAATAAAACAAAACACGCATACTAAACTTTAAGATCTTACAGATACTGGTTTCAAGAAGCAATTCCTCAACCTAAATGTTATTTTAGGTAAGTTGCAGCATTTGTGTAGCTTAGAGTTCTAGTTATTTTTTCTTACAGACTGGACCCCAGTCTCAGTCAGGACTCACCCTTGCCTTTCCCTTCAGGTTAGTTCTTTCATCTCTTCTGGATCTTTCAACAGTCCTTCTTCTTGGGTAGGCAATGGAGGAGAGTCCAGATTAACCCCTTCCCTAGCCTTAAAAGGATTTACGTAAGGCAGGAAACCTTTGTTTGATCCCCATCTCCCTACAGAGGAAAAGTACCAGCAGTGTCCAAGGTGGTATTTGAGGAACATCTTTTAGACACAAGAACTAACAGCAAAGTATTTTTAAGTACATCAGAAGCAGAAAGCCTGCCAAATAATCAAGATGCTAAAGGGGCACTCAAGGAAGACAAGCCATTGCAGAGAAGCTACATGAATTTTTTTGCATCCATCTTCACTGCAGAGGATGTGAGGGAGATTCCCACACCTGAGCCATTCTTTTTAGGTGACAAATCTGAGCAACTGTCCCACACTGAGGTGGCAAGAGAGGAGGTTGTGGAAGAAATTGATAAATTAAACAGTAATATGACTTAAATGGGCCTCTGTACCAGATGACTGGTGGATAGCTAAGGTACTGCTGATTTTTTTTTTATTATTATTTTTTAATGTTGAGGTTCCAGCGGCGATCCTGGCAATTACAGGCCAGTAAGCCTAATTTCAGTACCAGGCAAATTGGTTGGAACTATAGTAAAGAACAGAATTATAAGACACAGACATGAATATTGGAAGAGTCAACAGGGCTTTTATAAATTGAAATCATGTCTCACTAATCTATTAGAATTCTTTTAGAGGGTCAACAAGCATGTGGCAAGGATGATCCAGTGGATATAGTGTTCTTGGACTTTCATGGATCAGTAACTGGTTAACAGATAGGAAACAATGGGTAGGAATAAACAGTTTTCACAGTGGAGAGGTAAATAGCAGGGTCTCCTAAGGATCTGTACTACGACTACTGTTGTTCAACATATTCATAAATGATCTGGAAGAAGGGGTGAACAGTGAGGTGGCAACATTTGCAGATGATACAAAACTACTCAAGATAGTTAAATCCAAAGGTGACTCTGAAGAGTTACAAAGGGATCTCACAAAATCAGGTGACCGGGCAACAAAATGGCAGATGAAATCCAATGTTCATAAACACAAAGTAATTCACATTGGAAAACATAATCCCAACTATACATACAAAATGAGGGGGTCTAAATTAGCTGTTACCACTCCAGAAAGAGACCTTGGAGTCATTGTAGATTGTTCTCTGAAAACATCTGCTCAGTGTGAAGCAGCAGTCAAAAAAAGCTAACAATGTTAGGAACCATTAGGAAAGGGATAGATACTAAGACAGAAAATATTGTAATAACTATAGAAATCCATGGTATGCCCACACCTTGAATACTGTGTGCGATTCGGGTCTTCCCCATCTCAAAAAAAGATATTAGAGTTGGCAAAAGTACTGAGAAGGGCAATAAAAATTATTAGGGGTATGGAACAGTTTCCACAGGAGGAGAGAATAAAGACAGAAAAGAGATGACTAAGGAGGGGGATATGATAGAGGTCTATAAAATCATGAATGGTGTGGAGAAAGTGAATAGGAAAGGGTTATTTACCCTTTTGTATAACACACAAACCAGCAGTCACCCAATTAAATTAATGGGCAGCAGGTTTAAAACAAACATAAGAAAATAAATCTTCACACAATGCACAATCAGCCTGTGGCAGTTGTTGCCAGGGGATGTTGAGAAGGCCAAAAGCATAACTGGGTTCAAAAAAGAATGAGAAGTTCATGGAGGATGGGTCTATCAAAGGCTATTCGCCAAGATGGTCAGGGGCACAACCCCATGCTCTGGGTGTCCCTAAACCTCTGACTGCCAGAAGCTGGGACTGGACAATGGGATGGATCACTTGATGATTGCCCTGTTCTGTTCTTTCTCTCTGAGGCACTGGCCACTGTCGGAAGACAAGATACTGGGTTAGATGCACCATTGGCAGGGCTGTCCTTACCCATAATAAAGTATGTAGCTGCACAGGGCACCAAATTTCCTGGTGCCCTACGTAGCTGCATGCTGCTCCACCCCTGCTCTGCCTCTTCTCCATGGCCCTGCTCCTGCTCTGCCCCAGCCCCACCCCACTCCACCCCTTCCCCTGAGGACTGCAGCAGGGGTTGGGCCTGCCCTGCACTCACTGGGCAGCGGTAAGTGGAGTGACCCGGCCCCAGGCCACTCCGCGCCTCTGGCTCCCAGCCACGCCACCGGTCAGTGCTGGGGCTCGGTTCTCCCCTGCCCCGCAAGGCTGGGAGCCAGGGGAGGAGAGCGGAGCGGGCTGGGGCCGGGTCACTCCA